AAAGTAAGCTTTTCATCATTTTATTTCGATGTTAACTATTTGATTACAAAACATTCTACCTAAGTACAAGGCGTATGAGAACCGTTTTTGTTCCACGCCACCACAGTTCCTGGTTGGCCCACTCACAGATAGATTGTGTTTTCAAGTGAGCGTTCAAATTTGTTAAAACGATCCTGCCGACTGTGAAGTGCGTTCATCAATGCTTCACGATACTGTGACATATTAGTGAAAACACTGCAGCGTGCAATTCAAAACAGTCAAACGCGCTATGTTGCCTCCCCATACACTCAAAACAATATTCAACTGTTTGGTGGGAAGCAATTCATCACCCGCCTTACAGCCTCGACCTCGCCCATTCATACAACCACTTTTTCTTGAAATGTGATCTTGGAAGGAGGCATTTTGATAATGATGGCGACTCAAAAAATAATGTTTAGCAGTGACTATCTTCATTGGCGGCTTCTTTCTTTGATGATGATATAGACAAAGGGGTTTACCGCTATGAAAAAGATCTGAACAAAGGTGATACTTATGTAGAAAAATGGTTGCCCAGATGCACTTTCGTGTGGAAATACATTTTACTATTTATTTATTTATTTTCAAGTGAAAGTGTATTTCGCAAAGAATTTTTCAATTTATTCGAGAAATTATATTTAAAAAAATAACTTTAATTACGTGAGAAAAATATTTTTTTTACTTAGTTACAAATACATGACACGTATAAAGATGAATTTAAAATGAGCACAGAAATACAGATATCTGTGATTTAAATTTAAATAAGTGAGGGCAAACGTATCGGATATTAAAAGTTTCTTGCACAACAAAAAAACTCGCATTTTCACTAAATATTGAATCAGTAGAGCAATTGGAACGTTCTTTCAATTAATATCCATAAAACGCTATATTTCAAAATGATCTAAATGCAATTTTTGAGGCAAATATTTAAACTATACGGTATATAAACGATAAAAATCATCCGTTTTTAAAACTAATACACTACTGTCGATTCTAAAATATTATAAGAATTGGTCTGCTTACTATAATTGACAAGTAAGATCTTTCAACTTGTTCATGAAAATGCTCTTTCAGGAAAGAATACCATGTTCTAGACGTGGAAATTCCCGAAAGTATGCACCTGGAAAGAATATCAAGGAACATTTTAATGTAGTTTTTCATAAAATCGATACACATAGATTTAATTCATAAATAAATAATCTCGCAATCAAGTGATACATGGTACTTTCTTGTAGAGTTGCACCAAGTGAAAGCTCTCTACTTTTTTCGATTTTTTTCTTTCTTTTATACTAATGAATGGGGCGTTATTAATAAGTACATTTAGTACTTTATACATGCTTATTAATAGCTCCCACCTACTATTTAGAACATTGTTTTGGTATTCTATTAACCTGTTTTTGTTAATGAAATAAGTTAAACTTCAGTAGGATTCAGATTTGCTCATAGTCAGGAATTTTTTCAAATCCAAGAATTATTTTTTGATACATTGTACAGTGCTTAAAAAATAAGAATATGAGAAGTCAAAAAATGAATCACCCTGAATAACTTTTAATCTAATGATCGAATCTTCACGTTCTATGATTCAAACCTAAAGGTTCAAGGGGGGAACTTAAATATGCTAACTAATTAGTGCAGACGATATTTTAAGATACGAAATCAAAAACGTATTTTCTCTGAATAAACATACTTATTTTCCGACGAATTTGGACGTCTGACCCCCAAAATATAGGGGGTAGCCGCAATCAGGGAAATAGGTTCCCTATAGCCTGATCAGAAGTATTCAACCCCAAAATTTTAATTCCAATTTCTGCGTATTTCGCTACATCTCGAGAACTTTTTAAGCGAATTGAAACATTTTTGCACGTTTATTTAAGAAGAATTCCATGAAAAATAACTATTAGTAAATATTTATTATTATCTCATTTTACAATGGACGAAAAAAAATTTCATTTTAAGGTACACAGTTTTTTACATAAGTTTAAAGAATGTATTTTTCCATTCTTTAATTTGTAATTATGTAAAAATGTGAAATTTGTGCAAAGTCGGTCGAATAGTTCCTGAGAAATCGAATTTTAAACATTCGACTTTTTTAAAACTCGATCATTAGAAGATTCCAATAGATAAAAAGTTATTCAGAATGGTCTGTTTACTTGTTTATTTATTTTTATTTGCGCACTTAATGCAGTTTAGTTTTCAATATTTCATTTATAGTGTTTATGATACAATTGAAAAAAATCTTATTAATTTTATATTTTAGACTTTACAAGAAGTTGATAGAGAGAGACATGTCACTCTGGGTCCCATTTACGGGTACTTTTTTTTCATGATTACTTTTTTTCAGAATGTTCATTTATAAAACTATGATCATAATAATAATATCTTCTTTATTAGAACCACCTCCGAGTATATTACATTATAACTAGGAGGCTTCGCCCCCTGCTCGCTGGCGCTCGCCAACCCCCGGAACTGCTTTCGCAGTTCATTTCGGATTGCTTCGCAATCCGATGCTCGCTTTGCTCGCTCATTGGATACGTTCTTAACGTCTAGCTTTTGTATACTTTTTTGAACACTGAAGTTCCGAAAACTTTTCACTGTAGAAAATTCTAAACCTGTGCATTTC